CTACATGAATCATTTTTGTCATGCTACTCTGTCAAGGGTTATAGACTCAGTTAAATTAAATAAATTCATGTCCTTTCGTTGACATCTTCATTTGTTCATAGAAGTTGTCATCAAATATGTGTGTATATTGATGCAGATGCACAAATATGACCACTATCATTCATATATGTAGATATTATACTTCCTTTGTCATGTTCTTAAATTCATACAAATCCACACAACCTTCCCTTGCCATGTTCTGTGGTTTGAACCCTGGATTTAATGGCTGCAGATCTATGCTCATAAGCTCTCCTATTACCGGTACGTCATCAGGTAACGTTGTTGCTGGACTTAAAATGGAGTCAGGTGCTTCTGCTAGTACATCTGGGTCCAGCATGAAGGTCAGTAATATATTGAATCTTTCTGGTGGCACTGTCATGACATGGTATACTTGTCAATCAGAAAATATGCCATGCATACATATTTGACAACTATGGTTCACAGGTATAGGCAAAGTAGAATAGAATAGCATTAACTTGCCCTATTCTTTTTTCCTCGTGTTTGTGCTTGTGAATCTTAGATTTGGATCTTGTCAGTTACATCTATTTACTTTTATTGCCATATCTTACTTCCTTGTCTTGCTTTCTTTGTTGACTAACTGACATTAGATGCATTGTTCCTTTTGGATTTAAATTTTCTTGTTTTATATTTGTTTTTGGTCAGCATTTTCATGGCGTTGATACACTTTGCACATTATGATGATCCCATTTCTAATGTATTTTTAATTATTTTTTTTAGTCAACCAAACATGGGAATTGACATTTTGATGGAATGACTTTTTATTGCACTTCATTCCAGTGATCAGTGTACCAAACACTACCTCAATTCTTCAACATTTCCATGTGAAAATCTAAAGTAATTGAGTGCATCTTCAATAATCTTCAACCAAATTTTGGGGAACTGTGTGATCTTATCATAATTAGGGTCGCCATTTGGGTGAAGTCTCAGTTAAAAGGATATTTTTATTCAGCTAATGAGATGGTGCATAATTTGCAATAGGTGAGGAGGAGCATTGGATTTTCAATCAGGTTGTAGAGGTTTTCTCAGATGGGAGTGAGCAAGCTGGAGTATGATCTGGTTTTGTGGTATGCTCTTCCTATGTGTTGCTATGCTTTACTTAGTGCTTTGGCTGAGTGTGGTGTAGTTTGCGTAGTTTTTGCTTGACTTTATTGGGCTGCTGTTTTCATTGGTGTTGGCTATCTGATGTACTCATGTGTTTGGGCCACCCTTTTGTCTTGTTGTTTAGTTGTTTTTTCCTTGCTACGTTGGTTCCTCACCAACTCTTGATGGTGTGCTAGTGTGCTTATCGGTGCCAACCTCATTCCTCGGCTCAATTTATCCATCAATTCAATCTCAAACCTTCAAATCCCAAACTCAACAGGGTAAGGGAAACTACCCATTTCCTCATTCTCTCTCTTCATCATTCTTCTTTTAGTAGGTTTGATAAATTAGTACTTCTCTGGCAAATCCATTTCTATGACTTTGTAATGTTACTAGAAATTATGTTTGTATATGCGATTCTGAAATAATATGTAAATGGTCTGAATTAGTGTGTAATAGAAACCCTAATACTTTAATTGGAACAAAACTTAAAATGTAATTCAAAATAGATTATACAAACCCAATTTGGGAATTCAATATTATAGTGTTTCTTATCTCTATGTAATTTATTAATAGACATTGGATTGTAAAAATATTTTCAATAATGGGTTCGTATTTAAATCTAATGATTTTATTGTATAATATGGCACTAGTTTGTTTAACCAATCTTAATAATTAATATTCACACATTGTGACATTGATCTTATAAGTTTTTCTGGCATTATCATAGCAAAATATTGAGAACCGATTGACACACTAAAATACATAAACGGTGTCGGATGTCAATGAAACTTGACACACACAACTAGCTAGGCATAAATGACATATAGGAAAAGATGGGACTCAAAACTAACTCCCGGTTTTGAATCTAGAGCCTAATTCCCATTTGTGAAAATTTGTCCTCTAAAAACTCTTTTTCAGAAACGGTTAACATAATAAAATGGTCAAACGGTGTTGGATGTCAACAAAACTTGACAAATATGGCTAACTAGGCACAAATGACTTGTAGGAAAAACGAGACTCGAAACCGATTCCCGATTTTGAATCTGGAGCCTATTTTCCGTTTGTGAAAACTTGCTTTTTAGAAACTCTTTTTCCGAACCAGTTGACTCGCTAAAATGCTCAAACGGCGTCGGATGTCAATGAAACTTGACACACACGACTAACTAGACACAAATGATTTGTAAGAAAAGACAGGACTTGAAACTGATTCCTTATTTTGAATCTGGAGCCTAAGTTTCGTTTGTGAATACTTATCCTTTAGAAACTCTTTTTCGAACACACACTAAAATGGTCAAACAACATCGGATGTCAACGAAACTTGACACACTTGACTAACTAGGCACAAATGACTTGTAGAAAAAGACGGGACTCGAAATCGATTCCCGTTTTCCGATTTTGAATCTAGAGCCTAATTCTCGTTTGTGAAAACTTGTCCTTTAAAAACTTTTTTCCGTAGCTTGAAATTAATTATGTTGTAAATGATGAATTTTTTTTTTGGTTTCTTTTTGCAGATGCAACCCTTGAGTATGTGATGATATCTTCATATATTGATATTGGAGCTTATTATTGATATCAAAACAAGCTATAATATGTATGTTTTTTTTATATTTATGTTGTCGATACTTTTATTTTGTTTTAGATACAAAAATTTGAGTTCTTGAATACAAAAAATTATTAGTGTTGTTGGAGGATGTTTTATATATTTTTGTAAAGAATATTTGGTTGACAATTATTACAGGGTACATATATATTATTCTTGGTTTATGATTTTGTGGGTATGGATGTGAATGTGGATGTAGATGTGGATGTAGATGTAGATGTAGATGTAGATGTAGATGTATTTTATTTTAGAAAATATTAATAATTTGTATAGGAAATGAATTAATAAAATATATATTGATTATAGGAAAATAATTTTATTGTGACAATAATAAACCGTCACTAATGTAATCATTATTTCCTTACATATTATTAGCGACAGATTAATCTGTCGCATATAACATATTAGTTTAAATCATTAGCGATGGTTTAAACTGTCGCAAATACAGTATTAATTTAATTCTACTTTTTTGCGACATTTTAGACCATCACTAATAATACTTTTCGCAACGTCAAATACTGTCGCTAAAAAATTTTTGGTGACAGCAACCGACATTGTCACTAAAAGTGAAGTTTTTTCTCCTTTTTTTGTGTCGGGTTAAACCGTCGCAAAAACCTTTGATTAGCCGTCGCTACAAGAAAGCAACAGTTTGTAACCGTCGCAAATACTTTTTGTCACGCCCCTTTCTGCCACCCCTTATTTCTTGTCGCTACTCCGTCCCAAATTTTTGCGACGATATGTGAACCTTTTGCGACATTTAAGACCGTCGCAAAAACTCCGATTTTTAGTAGTGACCACAGGTATTTCAACGGTGAATGGATAAAATCTTTAAAGATCTTAAGGATTGTTGTGTAGTTTATATTGATGATATACTTATCTTCTCCAAAGTCCGGGAGGAGCATAAGAAACATTTAAAATTACTTTGTGAAAAATTCCAAAAACATGGAATTATTTTGCCTCCAAAAAATATTGCACTAGAAAAAGAATCAATGAAATTTTTGAGAATAATTTTAAACCCGAAAGGTCTAAAATTACAAGAACATATTTTGTCCAAAGTACGAGATTTTCCTGATACTCTTGAAAATATAACACAATTACAGAGTTTATTAGGTATTTTAAATTATGGACGAAATTTTATCAAAAATCTTTCAAAAATAGAAATTCCTTGGTTAACCAAATTAAAGAAAAATGTTATTTTTGAATGGACAGCAGAAGATGTTGCTTTAAGTAAACAAATTAAAGAAAATGTTAAAACTTTACTAGACGTTTATCTTCCTAAAACAGGTGATATATTAATTTTAGAAACAGATGCCTTAGAAGAATGTTGGGGATGTGTTCTTAAAGCAATACCAAGTAACTTATGGCATGATAAATAGATACCTTTATCCAAAAATGGGATTAGACCAAGAAAAAAATCCAATACCCATAAAATTACAAAAAGAAGAACTAATTTGTGAATATAATTCTAGAACATTTAAACCAAACGAACAGAAGTATATTATTTTTGAAAAAGAATTACTTGCAATAAAATTGACAATAAAATTTTTCATATTTATTTAGTCCTAGAAAATTTTATTGTACACACTGATAATAAGGGAGTAAGAGATTTCTTGATCAATAAAAAACCTATTGAGCAAGGAAGAAGATTAGCCTAGTATAATAAAATTTTTGAATATACTTTTGAGGTAGAATACCTTAAAGGTACTAACAATTTTCTTGCAGATTTTCTTAGTAGGAATTGTTTCGGAAAATTAAATTAATAAACAAGTAATTTTGACTTTTGCAGAAGACCTCTAGACCAAGAGGAAACAATGGACAAGGGTAAACAACCCGCTCAAGGAGATTGGTTACAATTGCTAAAAAAGCAATTCCTAGACAAGAAAAAGTTTATGTTGTGTTTTCAGGAAGACAACCTGGAATTTACACAGAATGAAATGAGTGCAATAAGCAAGTTTGTGGATTTCTAGGAGCAAGTCATAAAGCCTATGATAGCATGACCAAAGCTAAAAAAGATTTTTACAATGCACCAACCATGCCTGTTTATCAAAAGAATTTTTGTCAAATGAGAACTAACCCAGTTCCAATTAATATTCAGACATCTAACCCGATGAATCTGAAATAAAAGATTTTTTCAACCGTAGTATATCCAGAGAAATTTATACAAAACTCAATGGAGTTTGGAGAACTCACATTGTAGACAACAAAGTGAAATTCCGAAAACACATGGGAGTTCTAGCCAACAAATTAGCTGAGTAAACAGCTAAATTAAAAGATTTGCAAAATCATTGTTCAATATCCTTAAACAAATGAATTGGAATGAAGATTTTAATTTTGAAAAAATAAACAATTTTCTTCAGCTATCAGACCTCATTTCAGATGAGTTTTCTAATCCAACTTTTGAACAAATAAAAAGAATTTGTCTTTTTGAAAAAGCAAGAACTTTGCTTCCAAAAGAAATTTTTTTGTTAATTAAAAATCGAGTCGAGGATCATCATGACAAGATTAGACAAATCTTAGAACGATCTTATGATAAATTAAATTTTAAAGATGGAATTCCCAAAATACCCATCATGACAACTCATGACATGTGATATTTTGAATACATAGATTAGGGAATAACTAATTAATTAAGTTATTTTTCAAATTTTAGATCAAATCCAGTGGATAGAAAATCCAATGATCATAAAAGCAATGCTCTCATGGGTAGTAAAAGGCTTCCGATAGAGTAAATATTTTACTTTCTTGATCTCTAGCACAATTGGTTAGAGAGAACAAGAACTTTTTTTCCAACCGTACCAGATTTGGTATCTCAAAGAAATTGAAGATTTTGAATTTGAAGATGATTATTTGGATGAAGATTGCCAAAGAGAGCAATTGCAAAATATTCAAAAACTTTCTTTGACAGAATATTGGATAGACAGTCTAATATCTGTTTCACAGGTAGCGTCCAATATCCATGGCTCAGCAAAATTGCCATTCATGGTCACTGTGGAGAAGTGGTTTGGAAATACTCTTCTGATCCTAGGGAACGCTCATGATCCTCTTCTAGTCACCTGAAAATGAATAAACACTCCGGTCGGGGGTGCCGGAATTAGCACTCCGACGGACAAGTCAGTCTCAACGCTCAAGAACGCTTGTATTCTAAGTTTAGCACAACAATTCTCACATACCTCTTTCTGGCTGATGTTTCTTCTATTTATATCTTTTCTTCTTTGGGCCGCGGGATTAGATCCATTTCCCACCTCATATTCGGCACATTTTATAATAGACCAATCTTCACTCGGCCCCTTGCTTAATTGGTTATTTGGCCGAGTAGGGTTAGATTTGAGCTTTCGAGCCAATTGCCGAGTGCCTCGAATCTCGACTCTCCCAGATTTGACTATCCGGAACCTCAACGACTCCCAATTCTCGGCCCCCACAACTACCCCCGAAGCACTCCACTAACGACCGTTGGCTGGAGTGTTTGGCTTCGAACTCGAAGAGTCAGAGCCGAAATTCGGCGGTTGACCGTATTCCAACGCAAATGTTTGTACACACGTTTCTTGGTTATCATTTCAACTTCCCACCTCTTCATACACTTCTATTTGTTGTGATTTAAAATTTCGACGTCTTTTCAAATGCATACAGGCTTTTAGACGCCCGTCGTTGGACTGCCTTCCGGACTACCTCTGCAACTTCCTACTCTTCTCTATCTCCTTCGCCTCTTGTAAGTTCTCTTCTTCTCTGCTTTGTTTTTGGCTTAGCATAATCCTATTGGCTGGGGGGAATGACGAAACATTTAAAAGATCTCCTCTCACCAGATCGAATTTCTGGCTTCCGACGCCATTTTTCCATTCCTGGTGACGTCCGTCTGTCATTTGTGGCAGACGACACCCTCGATATGGAGAGGGTTGATGAAACTACGATCATCTTCCCTCTTCTATCAATCGCAGAGGGTGGGGTCCGTTTCCCCCTTCACCCACTCCTTAGGACCGTGCTTTGCCATTGGGGGTTAATCCCTTCCCAACCCAACGTCAACTTCTTTAGGATCGTGATGGGGATTATCGCACTAAACCGCCGCCTTGGGCTTAACCTTGGCATTCCCGCTATTCAGCATTGCTACGCCTTGGCCAAGTCTTCTGGTCGGCACGGGCGTTATTTCCTTAAGGCCAAAGACACCGACCATCAACTAGTGACTATGTTTTCCAGCTCTGGGAAGCGAGTCGATGATGTTATGGTCGTCGTCCAAGGAAACTAGGAATTCGGCGAAGGCGAGGATCGCCTTGATCGTATTCCTAGATGGAGGGGCGAACCAGGTGGCCGAGTATCTTCTTTTATTTATTTACTTGTTATATTTATAAAACTTTATTTTCGGGACCTCATGGTTTTGCTTTTGTAGGAAACGATTTGAAGAAAGTCTTGACCTCGACCGACGACACCGTCCTTTCAGAAATCAAGACCGACCTCAAGTATTTCGGTCGACCGAGTCTTCAGAACCAGGAGAGGGTGGCCCACGTTCTACTCCGCTACGAGCCGACTTATACGACCTTTTCAGCGGCAAAAAACATCCCAATTCTGAAGGGTGAGGAGTTTCTTATCGCCCTTATCATGACTGATTTCAGAAATTTGAGGCAAGTCGGTTGCGAGGGATCAGATTCGGAGCTACTGGAAGTAGCTGAGGCCGTCGAGTCAAACCAATCCGAAACTGAGGTTAATGAGCCTTTGAAGTTAGCATTTGAAGAAGCCGGCCTCAATTCGGCTGATCCTCCGTCCACTTCGAGTCGAGAGGACTGTCTACTTGACGATATTTTTCACGGTCTGGAGGACCTTCCCATCGCGTTCCCAGAAGATATGGCTGGGTTAAGCCTCACTAAACTTGCCAAGAAGGCGAACGTAGAAAGGATGGCCGCGCGGCGAATGCCGAATCTTAGTCCCACTCCTCCTTGCCTGTTATTGAGGGGACGACAAAGAATGGAAGTACCGAGGTGGAACCTTTTGTGCAGGCGAATGTGGAAGCTGAACAAAGGGTGGAGAAGCGCCTTGCCGATGTCGAGGCCAGTTCAGAAGAAGACCGTGCCGACAAACGACCTCGTTTGGAGGAGTCGGACCATGCCGACAAAAAATATGCCGATCTCCTCCGATGCTTCGGTAATCAAAGATCTAGCGGTTGC